CTAAAGCGCGACATCCTCCCCCCCCCCCCCTTCATCATTGCGACAATGTCAGCGACACTGCAGAACCTGCTTCCGGGCAACCCGGCCACGACGCGTGCACAGTCGACCAAGATCTCGGCCGATCCCAAGGGCGAAAAGGTGGTGTACTGCCAGAACCGCACGGTGTTTGTGCGCTCGCTCACCGACGCCTCCAAGCCGGCGCTGGCGTACTCGCAGCACACGCAGCCCACCACGGTGGCGCGCATCTCGCCTACCGGCTACTACTGCGCCTCGGCCGACCAGGCGGGCAACGTGCGCGTGTGGGACCTCGTGGGCGACGAGCAGATCATCAAGAGCGAGGTCAAGGTCATCGCCGGCCGCATCAACGATCTTGCCTGGGACGGCGAGTCGAAGCGCATCATCGCCGTCGGCGACGGTCGCGAGCGTTTCGGCCATGCTTTCTCCTTCGATTCCGGATCGAGCGTCGGCGAGGTCACGGGACACAGCCGTCAGATCAACGCCGTGGCCATCCGCAAAGAGCGTCCCTTCCGTGCGGTGACGGCGGGCGACGACAACAACCTCGTCTTCTACCACGGCGCACCGTACAAGTACAACAAGACGATCAGCACGCACACGCGCTTTGTGCAGGACGTGGCGTACGCGCCCAACGGCGACAGCTTCGTCTCGGTGGGCTCGGACAGCAAGGTGTTTGTGTACGACGGCAAGACGGGCGACACGCTCGTCGAGCTCTCTGCCAAGGCCACCGGCGGTCATACGGGCACCATCTTTGCCGTCGACTACTCGCCGGACAGCAAGCAGATCGCCACGGCGGGTGCAGACGGCCTTGTCAAGGTGTGGGATGTGGCGGGCGAAAAGGTGGTTGCGTCGCACGACTTTAGGGGCCAGGGCAGCCAGAAGGCGGATGACCAGCAGGTGGGGCTGGTCTGGGCCGGCTCGCGCATTGTGTCGCTCAGCTTTGCGGGCGATTTGAACGTGATCGAGGGCAGCGAGGTGCGCAAGCTGCATGGATCGTGCAAGAGCTTTGGCGTGCGTTCGCTCGACGTGGTGGCGGGCACAAAGACGCTGGTGGGTGGCAGCTACGATGGGCGTGTGCTGACGTGGACCGCCGATGGCGTGTGCAGGCCGGTGCTGGGGGCCGAGCAGGCGAGCGCGGTGCTGGGCGTGCACTCGACGAGCGAGGGCGCCTACGTCGTCTCGATGGACGATGCCGTGCGCAAGATCACCGACGGCAAGTTCACGGGTGCGGCAGTCGCCACCTCGAGCCAGCCGAAAGGCAGTGCAGCCTCGTCGACGGGGGTTGTGGTGATCGCCGGCGCGAATGGGATCGACATTATCGCGCAGGGGAAAAAGACACACACGGCGACCAAGTACACGCCCTCGTCGGCTGCGATCTCCGCCGACGCGTCATGCGTCGCCGTCGGTGCTGAGGACGGCAAGGTGTATCTGTACAAGCACAACTCGGGCAGCTTGACGGAAGCTGGGGTTCTGAGCAACAATCGGTCGGCGGTGACGGCGCTTGCCTTTGACTCTGCGGCGACGCTGTTGGCGGCGGGCGAGTCGAGCGGCAAGATCCAGGTGTACGACGTGGCGAGCCAGACGCTCAAGATCGCGCACTGGGTCTTTCACTCTGCGCGCATCAACGATATCCGCTTCTCGCCCGACGGCACGCACGCTGTGTCGGCCAGCCTGGACACACACGTCTACGTCTGGAGCGTCGCCAAGCCCATGAAGAACATCGCCGTCAAGAATGCACATGCCAACGGAGTCCAGGCCGTGGCGTGGCTGGCGGACGACGAGTTTGCCAGTGCAGGTGCCGATGCCGCCGTGCGCACCTGGAAGCTCAAGCGTCACGATGGTGCCTAGTTCCTGCATCGCTTGGTTACCAATCGAAAAGAAGCTGCTTGAGCACACGATGTGTGGATCGTCTGTGCTCGCTCGAATCGGGCCGATGCCAAGCCGACACGACGATGTGGGAGCGGCGTATTTCTCGGTGATTTTGCGGCGGGTGTGACTGGAGGGAATGTGGCTCGCGTGTGGAGCGGCAGCGCGGGGGTGGGAGAGAGACAGAGAGAGAGACAGAGAAGTGCATATGCGCAGTGGGAGAGGATGTGGGGTTCGCCGGTGTGGAGCTGTGGGGGCCGGATGAGCCGACGTCGGCGGTCGGAGCAGCTCCGAGTGAACCGGATGCCTTCCGCGCCGTGTTCCTCCCACTTTGGCCCTCTGCTTAGCGTCGTCGGATCGAGCTACAAAAGAAGTCAGCTCGCTTCGCCCGTCCTTGCTTCTTTCTCTTGAATCACATTCATCACACCGTGATCTCTCTTCAAGACAATGCCGGTGGATCACACGAACAACCTCACGCTGCGCATCCTGCAGGCGGCCCACGAGGGCGGATACGCGATCAATGCGCAGTCGTGCTACGATGCGCAGTCGGTCATCGCGCTCGTCCGCGCGGCGGAGGAAGCACGCTCGCCTGCGCTCTGCCAGCTCTTCCCCGTGACCATGGCGCAGTTCGGCAAGCCGTTTGTCAAGTTCTGCCTCGACACGTGCCATGCGGCATCGGTGCCCATCGCCGTGCATCTCGACCACGCCGCCTCGGACGAGGACATCACGCGCGCGCTCGATTGGGCCGAACAGGGCGTCGCACTCGACAGCATCATGATCGACTGCTCCCACCACGATACCGACGAGGACAACATCGCCATGGCAAAACCCTACGTCCAGCGCGCCAACAGCCTCGGCATGGCCGTAGAGGTCGAGCTGGGAAGACTCGCCGGTGGTGAGGCCGGTGTCAGAGTCATCGAGGAAGGAATGCTCACAAAGCCCGAAAAAGGTAAGTCCACCCCCCAACTCCCCGCCTTTGCAGAGATGCAAGTTGTTTTTTCTTTGCTGACGAGCGAGTGGGTTCGAGGGAACAGCTTCGCGATTCTTGACCGAGTTGGGAGCCCAGATGCTGGCACCTTCCATCGGCAACATCCACGGGCGATACGTCAATCCGCCCGCCTTCCGCCTCGAACTGCTCGAGGCGCTCCAATCCGCCGTCGGACCCGGCACCGCCGCCAACTCCTACCTCGTCCTGCACGGCACCGACGATCTGCCCGACGAGCTCTTCCGAGACTGCGTCCGGCGCGGCGCGTACAAGATCAACGTCAACAGCTGGGCGCGCGACCCCCAGGTCGAGTTCTGGGCCAAGCATCTCGAGAAGGACCCGCTGCCCGATGTCTACGAAGGCGGCATGCAGCAGTTCGCCAAGGTCTGCAACAGGTTCTTCCACCTCCTCGGCTCAGCTGGCAAGGCCTAGTTCCTCGATGCACGCACAACCTAAATCTTAGATATGCCGGTTGATTGAATTTGGTGTTAGATGCGCTGTACGACTTGGCCGTCTCGCAGACGCAGGAGCGAGCCGAACGACGTCGGCCATTCGGACTCGTAGTGGCTCACGACGACGATGGCCATGTTTCGGCGCTGCTGCAGGTCGGAGTGCTGTTCGTGTGCGGGGCCGAGGGGGAAGAGGTGCGGGTGGTCGAGGAACTGGCGCGTGCGCTCCACCTGGCGCTGGTCCATGCCCTGGAACGGTTCGTCGAGCACCAGCAGTTGCGGATGGCCCACCACCGCCCGCAAAAACAGCACCACCGCCTGGCTCCCGTGGCTGAGCTCGCTGAATCCCATGCCCGACACCGCGCGCACCTCGCTCGACGCTTGCGGGCTGCGCGTCTTGATCAGATCGCCAAAGTGCCCCAGCAGATCCCACACGCGCTGCTTTTGTTCGTCGGTGTAGCAACGACGTGCAAAGACGTTTTCAAACCCGGACGCGATCACTTCGCCTACACTCAGCCCGCCGGCTGCAGCAGGTCGGCGCGGGAAGGCGTTGAAGAGCTCCGGTGAGAGATGGCCGATGCGTCGGTTGAGCAGCGTTCGGGCGTTGGATGCGTGGTCGCGTGCGTGGGAAAAGAGCGATAGCGAGTCGGCGTCGAATGAGAACGACCGCGGGTGGTCGCCGAGCAGAAGCGCAAGCAGCGTCGTTTTGCCAGAGCCATTGTCGCCGGCGAGAACGAGCCGTGTACCGGGATAGAGCTGCAGATCCACCGAGTCCAGCACCGTCTTTTCGCCGTACACGATCGAGACGCCATTCAAACTAACCACGGGTGGGGCGCTCGTATCGCCCCGCCCCACCCCCGCAGCTGCATTCGCTTCGATCAAGCCCACTCCACCCTGGCTCTTGCCGCTTGGGGCCGCCCCGGCGGTGTGGCGATGACCGACCGAGACGATGGCGCCCTCTTCGTCGACACGCAGCACGTGCGTGACGAGGTCGGGCACAGCGTCCTGTTGGCGCAGCACCAGCACGAACCGCGGTCGCCTCTGTGCATGCAGTTGTGCAAACAGCTCGCCGAGCCGCATGCGCGTGGTCGTGTCGATGCCCGAAAACGGCTCTTCGAGAACGACGAGCTCGGCACCCGTGATGAGGCTGCTCAGGATACGCGCACGACGTGTCTGCCCGTTGGACAGCGCAATCACGGGCCGATCCAACAGCTCGTCGCCAATCAACAGGAGCGGTGCCATCTGACGAATCACGCCGTCTGCGCGCTGAGCTTTCTGCAGCGCTGCTTCTCGCTGTGCAGCAGAGGCGTACTTGAAGCGTCCTACCTGCTCCGTCTGCTCGAGCGGATCGGGGACGAGTTTTTGGGCTGCGACCAGGCCGACGGGACAGTCGAGCAGGTCCATGAGTCGCTCGTACAGCGTCACCCGGTCTTGGTCGCGAATCGCACCGTACCGTGCAGAGTAGTTGGTAAACTCGCCGCTGGAGGCCGAACCCATTTGCGTGGCGAACGAGACGTGCTTGATCGCGCGCACTGCCGAGCGACCGTGGTCGAGAAACGGATGCGGAGGTGTGTGTTGGGTGCCGGAGGTGCGGGGACGTTGTCGGCCGGAGAGGATGTCGATGAGCTCGCGACGCACCGCACCGCCCTGCTCGGATGCGGGAGCGATGATCGCCCAGCACTCGTCGGCGCCCGCATCGCGTATCGTCCAGTCGAGAGGTGCGGAGGAACTGCCGAGCTTCGCCGCGCGGAGGTCGAGCAAAGGCGGTCGCGTCGATGCTTGCCGCACCTGGGCCATGCCGCGCGATGAGCATGCATAGTGTTGGCGAGCGACGCTCGAGGTCGGCAGCAGCTCGAATCGGATGGCAGCACGCCATGGCCGGGAGACGCACCGCATGGCTCAGAGTGCGGACGATGATGGCAGGTTGGAAGGAGAGCGGGGATGCGCGGCGGACTGGGATGCAACCATGCAACACCGCTCGGCAACTTGATCGGCGCCTGTCCCCACGTCGCACCAACCTTCCTTCCGCCAGAGTCGCGTTGGCTGTGGGGGAACGGGGCAAGGAGAGATGCAATCGGCGATGACAAGTGCAACTGCACCGATATCGACCATCACGGGGAGAAGCAGATCTTACAGGGGCTCCCGCCTTTTTTTCGAGTGCGGGGCGAAAAGCGGTTGCACAAAGTTTCCGGTTACCGCCCGCTGCTGGTACCTGGCGGTTCCCTTGCTGCGCCCAGGCACGCCGTATCGATCTGCAGCCCTGGCTGCCCTCAAGCCGGCTCCAGATATCGATCGGGTCCGCAAAAGCACGGCTCTCTTGCTTGGGGATGCGCTTGAAAGGGCGCACTGCACGGGAATTGACCGGCCGGTTTCCGCCACCCTGCCAGCCTGCCGCCCTGCAGCATCGGCATGTGCCACATGCCATCCCGGAAGACGTCGTATGGATTTGCGCTCGAACTCCTTCCGAGCCGAGATGAAGGCGTCGAACCCGGACGTGCAGCTTGCTGTAGCAGAGGCTGCGTGGCTCGGACGTTCCGGAGGTTTGCACTCCCGACCCCTCCCGATGTCAGCCTTCTCCCTCCAAGGCGAGACGAAGGGGCGCTATGGAAATTGGCAGCACATGGCACAAGCTGGTCGGGTGTGCGTCTTTGGCAGAAGTGCAGACTGATGTCAGCAGTCTACAGTCCGGGCCAACAGCAGAAAGGTTCGACGGTCGACGCAGGGCTCAGGGACAGAGACGTCGGAAGGTAGCAGGCAGGTTTGGCAGGTGCTAAGCGAGTAGCAAGTGGGGAAACCCGAACTGCACCAAGGTCCCACGACAAGAGGCGCTCCCGTTGTTCCAGCGAGCTTCGCGGCCACGGGGCAGGTGGAAAGGTCTCAGTTACACCACTTGGCCATCCAGCCTCCACATCTCGCCCATCGCTTCGAAGCTGGCTCGAGTCCCCCCGCCTGCACTTGATTTGAAACGCTAGACCTTCTCGAGGACGGTGTGCATAGGTGCCAAAGCAATACGCTCGTGTGGTTGGATCGATATGCGCCCAAAGCCAGAACCGCCAAGGCTGCATACTCTATTCGAAACGTGAGACGGGGGCCGAGCGGCAGCGGCAGTGGCATCGGGGTTGGAAGCGAGAAGTTTCAGGTGTCGCGCGGATGCAGCTGGGCTCTGGCGGTCGAACCGAGCGCAGCAGCGGCTGTGATGCAAATCCTTTGGTCCCCGACCCTTTCACGCAGCTGTCCAAATCCCATCCCAGCCTGCCGGGAACGTCATCATCGACTGGCTCAGAGCGCCTTCCGAGTGTGGAGTAGGATTTTCCCCCCTCCCATGACGACTTTGGCGACGCCATTATTTTTTTAGGAATTCCGTCACCCGCTGCTCCCGTCCAGGCGCCACCTCCTCGACTCTCCCAGTCACACACACACACACGCGAGAGAGGCACAGTGGATGCCCGTGCATGCTTCCGGTTGTTCTTGCAGTCTCTCCTCCTCATCCCCTCCCCAAGCATCGGCTCGTGGGACCGTATAATAGTATCGACTGGATCGGTGTCTTTGCTCTTCTTTCCCCTTTCCCCCCAACAATACTTTCCCCTCATTTGTTTCGCAACCATGTCAATTCCTGGCAAGGTAGGCACGTTTTTCGCCGGACTGGCCGGCAAGACGACGCACTCCAAGCTCGGCTTCAAGCTGCTTGCATCGGACCCGGTGCTGGACACGGCGCGCAACCTCGGCTTCAAGGTGGTGGAGTACGATGTGCCGCCGTACCCGCTGTGGACGGCCGGCGTGATCGCAGTGCGCATGCTCTCGTTCATCGTCGGTTCGGCCGTGGTGGCGTACATCCTGTACCACAATGTGGCGGTCAAGTCCAAGGCGGGCAAGTGGTTTTCGATCGTATCGCTCATCAGCACGCTGCTGGCATGGCCCTTGCTGACGGGACGCTCGGGCGTCATGCTGCTCGACTTTTGGCGGCCCGCGCTGGGATTCCGATCGAGCCTGCTCGTCTGGGACATCTTCCACATCCGCACGCACGACGAGGTGCGCTCCTGGTCGTTTGCGCGCTTCTTCGCGCAGCTCTGGACGTTCCCCAAGGAGCTCGATGATCTGGCCGAACGCGCCAAGGAAGAGGGCTACGAGCGCAACGCGCGCTGGGAGAACCTCAAGGGCATGCCCAAGGTCGCCGTCGAGGCCGTCGCCATGTTCGGAACGCTCTACTTTATCCCGCCGTTCGAGCTGACGCGCAACATGAGCCAGCTCGCCTACCACGGCTACTGCGACGCGCTCGGCCTGTGCATCCTCATGGCGCTCGCGCTGTTCGGCGACGGTCTGCTCAAGGCGCTCGGCATCCTCATCAACGTCGAGATGGCCGACATGTTTGAGAATCCGCTGGGGACGACCAACATCCGTCTGTTCTGGAGCCACTGGAACCGCGCCATCGCCACGGTGCTGCACCGCGTCGTCTTCGGCGGCGGAAAGAGCAAGACGGTGATCCGCAAGAAGAAGCTCGAGGCCGAGGCGGCGGCCAAGCGACGATTCTCGCACATGGACGGTATGTCCGAGACCGACGCCGGTCACACCTCGGGCGAAGACGAACAGGCGCACTCGAACGGCGGCCGTCGTCGCAACGCCTCGGGCCTCAAGCCTCTGTCGCAAGTCGCCGACGGCGATGCGCAGCTTCGCAACCGCAAGAACGGCAAGACGGACAGCAAGGCCAACGGCTCGGCTGCCCCGCGCACGGGTGCACCGGCCAAGAAGTCGTCCTTTGCACCCAAGGCGGCGGCGGCGATCGTGACGTTCGCCATGAGCGGCATCTTCCACGAACACATCACCTACTTTACGCTCGGCTTTGCCAACGGCGAAAACTTCCTCTTCTTCCTGCTCAACGGCGTGGCGACGGTGACGGCGACGTGGTTCAAACGCACCTACCCCGAACTCAACGACAAGATCCCCACCTGGCTGTCGGTCATCATGCTCCACGTCTTCTTCGTCTCGGTCATCCCGCTCTTCTGCTCGCCCTTCATCCGCTCGGGCTTCTTTGTCCAGCTCGAGGCGCTCAGGTACGAGCTCATGCCCATCCGCGACAGGCCGCGTGGTAGCTTCATCTACCTCTTTGGCCAGTAGTATCCATCCCCCCGCTCTATTCTCTCGTCCTGTTTCCGCCCTTTTTCTTTGCGATGCTGTTGCCGCTTTGACGGCAGAAGCGCCGTTGCACTACTTTGACTCGAATAGGAACTTGTTGTCGGCCACCGAAGGTGGGAGTGTGGAAAGAGGGATCGGGTGATGCGGGCGCGTGTTTTCACGGGTGTTGAGCACAATTGCCCCGCATCGGCTTGGGGGGAGAGAAAAAAGAAGGAAATTGAAATGAGAGAGTGTGCGGTTCGCCCCGCAAACGGGGGATCGACGAGGGGCGTTGTGCCTGCCGGGTTTTGAACCAAAACACGCCTTTGTACGCCGCTCCGCTGGTCCAGATTAGGAAACTGGCGCGGCGAGACGGGGGATGCAACACCATCCCACCACCTCCATCCAACCCCTCCCCTTCCGCTAAGGATATATTGCGCGATGAAGATCAGTACAACACTAGCCGTTCTGGCGTTGGTTTGGGGCGTTCGTGGTGATGGATCGACCATCACCGTGTCTACGACGCAGTTCAATCCGGCCATCACGAATCAAGGCGGCACCACGAATGCTGCGGGCACGTTCAATGTCAGTCCGCTGGCGACTTCGACGAGCTACGAGTTTCAAACGCTGCAGCAGACTTCGACGTTCGTTCCGGGTGCGATCAACACCCAGACTGCCCAAGGTGGTGGTGGAAACAGCGGCGGAGGAGACAGCGGAAGTGGAAGTGCAAGTGGTAGCAGTGGGAACATCGGTGGCGGTACAGTGGTGGTCACCGCAACCGCACCCACAAGCACAGTCAACATGGGTACGAGTGCAGGCTCGAGTGGATCGAGCGTCGCAACGGCTAGCAATGGTCTGCCGAGCTTGGCGTTGGGAAGCACCAATGCAGCAGCGCAACCACAAACGCTCGCCGTCTGGCCAGCAGTGCTCGCCGTGCTCGCCGCTACTGCAGGCGCCCTGGCTCTGGCGTAAACAGCGGACACGAGCATAGATACCCAAACACCCAGGCACAACCGTTTCGCTTCAACATCAAACGCCCCTCTTCGCCTTGTGTTCCTCCGCACTTCACTCTCCTTTGCTGCGTGTTTCAGCTTTCTTTTCCATCCTCCTTGTCGAACGGACTCGCAATACGATGCGCCAACTCTAATGTCCATTGCTGCGATTCTATAGTGCAAAACGAATGTGGTTGCGAAGGGTGGGGATTCAGGTCTCCTTGTCGCTGTCCGGCGGGCTGGGGAGCGACTTGGTCGGGTCGTGGATGTAGCTCTTCTCGCCCAGCATGGCGGTGGGCACGTCGTTCCATCCGCCCACTCGGGGCGGCACGTACGCCGGCGGCGCCGCATAGCTCGGAGCATGAGCACGATTCGCCGACAGGAACGGACGCGCATGCATGCCGCCACTGCTCACACCCACCGACGGCGCCGCCGGCGCAGCAGGCACGGCCGTGAGCGGCAAGATGCCCTGCTCGACCGCCGTGTCTTGTCGTCGCGTCGCCTTCTTCTCGCCGCGGTCGACGTCGTGCTTGGTTTTGCTGTCGTTGTACATCCAGAGGCCGTAGAAGGTGAGTGCGATGCCGAACCACTGCAGCAGCGACACGGACTGGCGGAACCAGAGGATGGCGAGCACAATCACAAACACGCGCTTGAGCAGCGACGCGATCGAGTACGTCACGGGCGACACCATGGCCAGCACATTGAACGCGAGGATGTTCTGCGCAAAGTGCACCAGACCGTTGCAAAGCAGCAGCCAGAGCACCAGCATGCCACGGTCGTGCGGGTAGGCTGGCGATGCGCTCCACGAGGGCGACGAGAGCATCGAGGGCGCGTCGTAGAACAGCGCCATGGGGATCATGAGAACGATGCTGCACGCCGAAGAGTAGAAGAGGATGTTGATCTTGTCCATCTTTTCGTCGCTCGTCTGTCGGTCCGCCTTGCGCAGCAGCTTCTTCGAGTAAATGTTTTGCGCCACAAACACAAACGTGGAAGCCAGCGCGGCGCCAAATCCCACGACGTCGTCGGCGTTGAAGGCGAAGCCGGTGCATGCCATCATGACGCCCGCGGTGAGCGGGACGAGCGAGAGGTAGGTCTGGGAGGAGTAGGTCACGTTGAAGAGGTAGGTGTAGCTGAGCACGGTGAAGAGTGGCGAGAGCGCCTTGATGGTGTGCACAGTGGCGACGGGGACACGGCTGATGGCGAGCGACGAGAGCGCCTGTCCGAGCACGTTGAAGAATGCCAGCTGCCCGACGTCCTTTACGCGCGCCAAGGACGGTTTGACGAGGCGCGTGAGTGCGCGGCTGCCGAGCAGACGCTGCGAGGCGCAGATGGCACAGCACACGTTGACAAAGCCAAAGTGGATGAGCGTGAGCGTGACCGGGTACGGGAACGCGGGTGGGCGCACCGAGTGGAGCGCAGGGTCCGTGTTGCGCCCCTTGGAGAGAAGCGCCTTTGATGTGTTGGACGAGAGCGACGACGAGGTGTACCACGCCAGGCAGCCGAGCACAAAGAGCAAGGTGGAGCGCGAGGGGCCCACCGCGTCCCACGACTGCGAGCGAGCGTCGGCCGCATCATTCTCGCGGTCGGAAGCACGCATGAAGAGTCGTGGCCGGTCGAAGCTTCGTTTGGGCTTGGCGGAGGAGGAGGAGGAGGAGGAGGGGTGGCGCCATGGTGATGTTGCGGTGGGGAGCGACGTCTGTTGACCCGAAAGATGCGCAAAGGTTTCGAGCGCACGCGAACGGACGCTGGAGAGAGCTGCGTTCATATCGACGCCGGTTGTGGCCCCACACTGTGGCTGCGTGTTGGTGGTGGTGATGGTGGTGGTGGGGGGAAGGTGGGTTGGGGACGAGCAACACCAACACTCGGCCGTTGCCGCTGCCGTTGCCGCTGCCGCTGCCGCCGCCTCTTCTCAACGTGGCCGCACCTGCATGAAATCCGATTTCCCAAATCTCTTGCAGCCGCTCCTCTTCCCGTGGCCGAGCCGTCGAGCCGTCGAGCCTCCGAGCCTCCGAGCCTCCGAGCCTAAATTGGGCGAATTCCGAGGCGCGCGAATTTTGGACAATGTTAGCCCTTCCGCAAAGTCACAATCTTGAATTTGATTGCCCGCTGCACTCCTCTGCAGGGTTCCACGTCGGAGGCGGCCCGATGGTGCTCGCACCTGCGCTGCTGCCACATCGCTGCTTTGCTCTCGACGCCCATCAAGTTTGCTGTGCTTTCAAAGGATGGCCACCGCCACTTCACACAACAAAAAGTCGTCGGCGGTGAAGCGCATCCTCTCCGAGGCGCGCGAGCTGGCCAACGACTCGTCGGACCTCTACTCGGCCTCGCCGCTGGAGGACAACATGTTTGAATGGCACTTTACGCTGCGCGGGCCCGCCAACACCGAGTTCGCCAACGGCCTCTACCACGGCCGCATCCTCCTACCCGCCGAGTATCCCATGCGGCCGCCCAACCTCATGCTGCTCACGCCCAACGGCCGATGGGAGCTCAACAAGAAGATCTGTCTCACCTTCACCGGCTTTCACGAGGAGATGTGGCAGCCAGCGTGGGGCATCAGGACGGCGCTGTTGGGTCTGCAGACCTTCATGACGGCCAAGGCCGAGGCGGCGGTGGGCATCGGCGCGCTCGACTATCCGGTGCAGGCGAGGGAGAAGCTGGCCAAGGAGTCGAGAAAGTGGACGTGCGACGTTTGCGCAAAGACCACGCTCGAGTTGCTACCCGACCCGGATCCAGAGCAAGAGACCAAGCAAGAGGCTCTGCCCGATGGACTGTGCGTCGACCTCACCGCACAGTCACACAAGTCGCAGCCGAGTGCATCTGCATCCACATCCACATCCACATCCACACCGGCCGCTGGACCCGATGCAGCTGCTCGTCCCATCATCACCACCGCAGCCACGTCGGAGGAGCCGCCAGCGCCAGTCGCTGCCCCAACACCACCGCCGCCTGCTCCAATCGCTGCAGCTGCTCCAGCTGCCCCAACATTACCGGCTCCGGCTCGTCTCCGACCCTCTTTCAATGCAGCCCTCCCGCCGCACACCTCAGCCACGCAGCGCAAACTCAGCCTCATCGACAACTGCATCAAGGCCCTCAGCGTGCTCGTTGCGCTGCTCGTCGTCAAGCGCCTCATCTAGTCCTAGCCCACGTCCGTCTCGTTTCTTTGCATTTCCGTTTCCCTGCATTCGTCAGCATGGCATTGTCATTTCGTCTTACTCCTCTTCAGAGTGACGCGCACGCGCACGCGCAAGCACAAATTCGTAGAAGCGGCGTGGGAGGAAGCCGACGCGGTCGCCCGACTGGCGCTTGTCTTGCACCTCGTCGTGCACCTCCGACTGGCTCAGCGCGCGGATCTCGACGTGCTCAAACGGCGCATGGAAGGTGACTCGGAACACAGCGTGCTCGATCTTGCCCTTGACGTCGTCGGCGGGTGGTGAGGAGGCAGTGTGCTTGGAAACCACGTCGCGGATGAACGAGAGGATCTGGTCGCCAAACCCGAGCGTATCCTTGGCTTCCCACACGGATCGCTCGCGCATCACCGGCTGACCTCCAGCGTTGAACTGGCCGGGCACAGGCTGCCCTGCACGAACCATACGCGGAATGCGCAGCGTCTCAAACTCCTGATGCGTCGTAAGCAGGCCGTGGAAATCGCGAAATCCCACCACGATCTTGCCGATGCCGAGCAGATAGCTCTGCAGAAAGAACTTGAGCAGCTTCTTTTCAAACCGCTCCTGCTCCACCGCCGCCTTGGCCGCGTTGCGGTGCGCGGATGTGATCTGCATCGACGTCTTGAGCTCCACCATCTCCTCCCTCCCGTGGCTCGGAAGAACGGCATCCACCTCGCCACCAATGATGAGCCGGTTCGAGCCGAGCTTGGTCTTGACCACGCTACACCACTGCACGTTGGTGTTCACGTCGCCAGACCACCCCTCCGGTTCGCCATCGTTCGAACGCGGGCGGGAGACTTGGGCTGGGTCGTCGACGGTGCAGTAGCTCTCGAACGCATAGCCGTAGTATGCGAAACGCTTCATCGTCGGGTCGGCCTCTTTGCGCTGCTTCTCGGCACGCGCCGATGCAGACACGTGCTCTTCCAGATACAGCGTGCCGTCGACCATCATGGCGTTCAGGTCGAGCGGATCCGCAAAGCGCGCCGACGCACTCTGCTCGTACGCCGTACAGATCTTGGTGATGATCCCGCGCCAGGTCACCACACCGGCGCGTCGTCGTTCCTGGTCCACCTCGTCGCGCACTTCCGCCGAAGCTGTCTCGGTCCGATGCTGCAGTGCTGCTACGAGCGCGTCCAGATGCTCCGGCACCGACTCGTCGCGCTGCACATACCGATCCATGGCGCAGTTCAGGTCGGCGCCGAACACGGCTGGTGCGCGTGTCTGCACCGGGTGTCGGTTGGTATAGGCGGGAGGACCGCGGTAGAAGCGCTTGCATCGGTCGTCCTGCCACAGCCGGCGCTGCTCGTCAAACGAAAACGAACACAGAGGCGTCGGCTGCTGGAATGGCGGTGACGCAGTGTACGGCGACGTGCCTGCGGGTATGCCCGTCATGCGCGGGTGCTTGAGCGAGCCTAGTATCGCGTCTGGTGCGGAGTCGGTGTCATTGTATTGGGCCAGCCGCTTGGTGGGCGCGGCCGGCCCATCGCGCGCGTCCAGAGCGCGTTTGTCCGGCATGGGGCGTGAGCCGTAGCTGAGCGCACGGTGACGCGCGATTCAGCAACGACGTGCGATCCAGGCGCTCATCGTAGATCCTAGCAAGTGGCTCGTAGCTCGTGTGTGCAAAGAAGGCTTGATGTCGAGTGTTATGCACTCCGGGTCGTGGTGCGGAAGCAAGGCTGTGGAGGCATCGCATGCTTTCTTTCTTGGCAATCACTCCGAGTCCCGCCAGAAATGCGCTTCTTTTTCTTTTGGACCCTTCTTTTCTCAGACTCAATATTTTCGGCCTTTTTCTCACTCTGCGGGTCTCGTTGTCCTTGATGGTGTTTGCTATTGCACGCGCTCAGTGGATCCTCTTGGCCATCTGCAGCCCGCTGTAGGAGAAGCCGCACTTTTCGTAGAAGGCTGTCGGCACCCAAGACCACAAATACAGGATCCTTTGTCAGCGGCGAAGCGTTTTGGTACGCCTCGATGGAATGGTCCAACTCACGCTTCTTCTCGTCGCTGCAGTTGAGGATGATGTTGCTGCATCCTTTTGCTTCGGCGATCTTCATGACGGTCGAGACGATCACTTTACCCAGGCCCTTGCTGTGCAGCTTGGTGTTGACCACAATGTCCTCGACGTGGCCGACGCGCGTGAGGCCGCGGAAGAACTTGAGCTCCACCACCACGCTGCCCATCGCCACGATGCGGTCGGTGGACTTGCTCACGATCACGATGGGAAAGTACGTGCCGTTGGCAGCAACCATGGCGTCGAAGCGCTCAAGCCATGCTGCCTCGCCCAGGTCAGGCGTCTCGACAAGGCAAGAGAGCACCTCGTTGAACCCGCGTGCGTAGTCGCTCGACGCCAGCGGGCGCAGCTCGTACTCGTCGCCGAGCAGGCTGAAGCATTCCGTAGGGATGTCGGCTGCGGGGAACGCCAGCCGCAATGGCGAGTTCGAATCAATGCTGGGCATGTTGTCGAGCCACAGGGATGTCCGAGGTGATGGCGATGACGAACAGCGTAGTCGAATCAGGTCGGTGGTGGTGGTCGAGCTGATGGGAGCCGCACCGGATTAGCAAGCGCCGACACAAGATGCGCAAGAAAGATGTGCATGTGACCCTGACCAGCGTCCAAGGCGCCGAGGTGTGCGCTCATCGGTCCGGTCGGCCCTAGCTATGACCCCCCGCCGGCGTCCATCGACGCTGCTGATTAGATACGCCTCGTGTGCCATCGCGTCGTCGCGCATGACCCCTGGCCCAGAGTCTCGCCCTTTCCTATCTCTGCTCCGGTAACAACGTGGGGTACGTAGCAGCGGATGCTCCGGACCACGGTCTCCGGCACCTTTTTGGCGGCCCAATCACGGCCCAAGCGGACAAAGCAGCCAGCAGACATTGGTCGGACAGTGCTCGGCTATCGTCGACGCAACGGCCCGACGTCGGCGACGACGCTGCGCAGGGTCCTCAGCCTCCAGTGTGGTGCTTTGCCTGGTGAAATTCATTTTCATCCTGCCCAGCAAAGTTGGCCGGCGGAGATGGCCAGCGGTGCAAGAGGTCGCCGTCCATGCCATGTTGAGACGACACTGGGGTGATGCTGCCCCGACCGTCGGTCGACCAATCCCATCCTGCGCTTCTTGCCCCGCACCGCTCCGCCCGAGCCCATGCGGCGCCGGCTCGCTTGCCACCAGACGCACGCGAGCGCTTGCTTCCCCCCGCTGGCCTCTCCCCCTCCTCGGTCGCAGTGCCTGCAATGGTGGGTGACTATCTTATCATTCTTGCGCATCCTCCCCGCACCAGCATGTGACGGTGCATGCGTGGCTCGATCTCGTGTACCAACGCACATTGTCAGGCACCAGCGCACAGTGTGTCGTTGGTGAGATCTGTGCGTAGCGAAGCATGCGCGCATATCACCTCGTCGTAGAGTCATAAAAAGAGGGCATCTTTGCGTAGCGTTCTGCATCAATCCGGCTCACACTCCGCAAGATTCTCAGGCACCACTGGTCTCACTCAAGCCGAGAGTGCTTATAGTCCGCTTTGACCCCTCGTGCCAAAGCATCTTCCGCTTCCCTTCTCCCTTACCTCCTCCCCATCCTCTCCATCCCCCTTCAACTTGCTCCCGTCCCGAATTCTACACAACATGCTGGTGGACAACAACGACGTGGCGCGCATCGACGCCGACACGCGCGACAAGCTCGTGGACAAGTTTGGCGAGCGATTCGACGAGGTGGTCGAGAGGAGCGCACGATGCACCAAGTGGCAGACCACCACGACGCTGCGCGAGGCGTTCCGACAGTGGCCCATGTCGGTCACCTGGTCGGTCCTCTTCTCGCTGGCCATCGTACAAATCGGGTACGACTCGTCCATTCTCGCCTCGTTCTTCGCGCAGCCGACGTTCACGGCGAGGTTCGGCACCTGCACCACCGCCGCGGATGGCTCGCAGGATTGCGAGATCTCGGCGCCCTGGCAGCAGGGTCTTACCAACGGAGCGTGGATCGGCGGCATCATCGGTCTTCAGCTCGCCGGCAGCGTCGCTGAGCGCATCGGCCATCTGCGTCTGATGATGGTCAGCGTCGTCCTCATGCTCGCCTTTGTCTTTATCCCCTTCTTCGCCACCAGCCTGCCCGTCTTCCTGGTGGGCCAGATCTTCATGGGTATTCCCTGGGGTGGATTTCAGTCGCTCGCATCGGCGTACGCTTCCGAGGTGTGCCCCGTGTCGCTGCGTCCGCTGCTGACGACGTACGTCAACCTGTGCTGGGTGTTCGGCCAGCTGCTTGCTTCGGGTGTGCTGCGAGCGACCGTGCAGCGCACCGACGTGTGGGCCTGGAGGATTCCGTACGCGGTGCAGTTCTTCTGGCCCTTCCCCGTCTTCATCACCTGCCTGTTCGCTCCCGAGTCGCCGTGGTGGCTCACACGACACGGCAAGCACGACAAGGCCTACGACTCGCTCAACCGCCTCCTCAGCGGACAGGGTCTTGCCGAGAAGGAGAAGGACGAGCTGGTCAAGGACTACCAGGCCATGATCCAGTACACCGAGGCCATGGAGGAGATCAGCGAGAAGGAGAACACCGCACAGAAGAAGAACCGCTACATCGACTGCTTCAAGGGCGTGGATCTGCGCCGTACCGAGATCGCATGCTGGGCCTGGCTCATCCAGATCACCTCGGGCGGTCCGCTGCAGGGCTACTCGACCTACTTTTTCAGCCAGGCGGGTCTGTCGACGGTCAACGCATTCAACATGTCGATGGCCATGTACGCACTCGGCGCCGTGGGCACCATCCTCTCGTGGTTCCTCGTGAACCGCGTGGGACGACGACAGATGTACCTGTGGGGCCAGACTGCCATGTTCTCGACCATGCTCATCACCGGCGTGCTCGGATTCGTCAAGCAGAGTGCTGCCGTGTCGTGGGCGGTGGGAGCCATGCTGCTGCTGTGCACCTTCTTCTACGACCTCACGGTGGGACCGATCTGCTTTGCCATCATCGCCGAGGTCTCGTCGACGCGACTGCGCAGCAAGACGATCGTGCTGGCGTGCAACGCCTACAACATTGGACTCATCATCGCCAACATCCTGCAGCCCAATATGCTCAACAGCGACGAGTGGAACTGGGGAGCCAAGACCGGCCTCTTCTGGGCAGGCACCGGTGCCGTCTCGATCATCTGGACCTACTTTAGGCTTCCCGAGCTCGCAAACAGGTGCGTTTTCAACCCTCCAACCTTCTGAAAGCGGCAGAAACCCAAACAGGGTCCCGCTGTCTCACCCTGCGCGCGCGCACGTTGCTGACGCTTTTCTTTTTCGTTCTATTTTTTTTTTCTTCATGCAAACAGGACCTACGGCGAGCTGGATGTGCTGTTCGGCGCCAAGGTGCCCGCTCGCAAGTTTGCGACGACGAGCATCGACCAGTTCCAGGCGATCGAGCACGAGGTGGCATCGGCCGACGTCGAAAAGTCGAGCGTGTCGGACAAGGGAGGCGTCGAGGCGGGCGATGGCATCACCGTCGCACAGCTGCCCAAGTCGCAGTGATTGGACCAATCAAGCAACGTGCCTGGCTCACTATCTGCGGAAGGCTGCCATCCGAAGCCAAACTTTCGCAACGCAACGCGGCTCTCGTCATGCCGTTTCAAGACGACGGCCGCTTTGCATCTACGCTCGATTCCTGTTCTCGTGTTACGGTCGTGTTATGGTCATGACTGAATGTCAATGTGATAGATACCCGTGTCCTGATTGTGATGGCTCGTATCAACGTTGGGATGGCAGCAGAGGACGAGAGCGGCAGAGCGTGAGAGCGTGAGAGCGTGGATGCGGACCGAGCTCGGGGCTGGTCGTGGTTGGAATGGTCCATGAAGAGGAGCCCACACAATGCCGAGGCACTTTATCTCTCGCCATGCAAGTTCATGCACAGCTGGCCCGAGTTGACCGGCGAAGTGGTCGAGCCCGGCTCCAGCACAGTGGGTGCGGCTGCGATCCTCCGCCGTTTGTGCAGGACCCCCAAGGCGATATGGTCGTGTGAGACCCCTTCCCCCCAGCTCAAAGATAGCAAGGTAAAGCATCCACAGTCGGCCCGGCAATGGACCGTCCCGATGCAAGACGAGAGCATCGACGGGCCGTGTGAGCGTGGGCGAGGCACGATTCAAGGCTCAACGAAGGATGTGGGGGCGACCAATCACAGACCGAGACCCCGGTGACTGGCGAGCCGCCTCAAATCGGTCGAAGCTGGTCGACTCGCGTCGTTGGCGCCTCGGCAGCCGAGGCCTGGCTTGAGCCGAGCCACATGGGTCGCCGAGCAAGCACCGGTGCTCCGTCCTACCAACTAAAGCTTCCCCTCGGCGACCTTGTCCTACCCTCATCGTCGCCGTCGTCGCGTGCACCACCACAACACCAGCACCGCCCATGATGTCCGCATCCACATCGCACTCCACGTCGCAACCGCCACAACTCCACCCATCCACATCGGCGTCCACCAGCAATGCGCCCAGCTCGCCCGACAAGAGCAACGAGGATGATGCCGACAAGCCAAAACGCACCCAGACCTGCTTCCGATGCCGCCAGTCCAAGGTCAAGTGCGTCTTCGAGGACAACGCTTCGTGCAGAAGGTGTCTGCGCCTCGGCGTCACCTGCGAGCTCCAGGGAAAGCGCGAGCCGCTCAGCTGGCAGATGAGGGTGCAGCATCAGCTCGCCGCTCTCGAAGGCTCCCTACAGAGCTTTCTGGAGAAGCAGATGGGACCGCAGCCCACTTCGTCATCGTCGGACCCTTACAAGCGCGCCAGCTTCCCCCGATCGAGAGACTCGCCCGCCACCACTCCAAACGCTTCCAGGTTCCACGACCACGACGCCCCGAAAAAGAGAAGGCGCACCATTGCCACCGAACACCGCTCGCCGTCCGATCCCCAGCAGCAGCGGCACATCTACAGCCACGCTTCGTCGTTAAGCATCCATCCCGCACAGAGCCCTATCTACGGCGACGGCAACAGTGGCTCCGCTTCCAGCTACCCCTCGACCCACTTTTCGCCGCGCGATTCGGACCGTGCCAATCAAAACTCTGGCGACAATGGCCTTCTCGGTTCGGCGGTCACGCAAAACGGCCATGCCAGCTCGCCAAGGCATAGATTGACGTCTGAGAATCCCAGCGCTTCAACGCATCTCGCCCCACCTCTTGCCTCGTCCAATCTCGCAGCTGCCGCCAGCTCCTCGCTCGACAACGATCACGCTTTGCCAGCAGACGATGTGGGTGCCGACACACAGCGCTCCGCCTTCCAGACCGACGACGAGCTCGACCAGGCATCGCGCCCGCTCTCCGCCATCCAAAAGCTCAGGATGAGCGTGCTCGACCGCAAAAAGGAACACTCGCATTCCGGCGAGCGCGTCTTCCCCAACCTGTACCGCATGGCAACGCCCGACGTCGGCAGCAACGATCCGCGTCCCAACGTCATCAAGCAGGAACTCGTCACGCCTTCGGACGCCGTCGTCCTTTTCCGCTTCTTTGCAGAGTATCTGGATCAGTACAGCTTTGGCTTTCCGACCTACCGTCCCGACGCCATCATGTCGCCCATGATCCTCACATCCGTCGTGTGCGTAGCTTCGCTCCACCATGCACAGCTCAACCGCCTGCATGCGCCTCTCAAAAACGACCTCATCTCCCGCCTTCAGACCGACGACCCGTCCTTCCCCTGCTCCGACGTCTACGAGACGCTCTTCTCATCCACGGGCCAGCGTGCCTCGCGCCTCCAATCCAACCTGCACTTCGAAAAGGAGCTCGATCCCGAGCTCGGCATCGGCGTCGAGGAGATCGTGGGTGCCAGCCTGTTTGCCAGCTGGTTTGGCGGGCGCAGAGCCTGGATGGCGTCGCGCCTCGCCAGGTGGTGGTCCGCCAAGTTCTTGCGCCAGCAGCAGCATCCGGCCATGATGACGATGGGCGAGATCATGAGCATCCTCCCGCCGCCGCGCGACCTGGGCAAGCAGGATCTCCTCCGCGTCTGGCTCAGCGCCTACATCACCGAGATCCACCAGGCGTGCATGGAGGGCACACCATCCATTGCAGGTCTCTCGTCGCCCCATGCCGTGTGCGACTCGCTCCAGTTCGCAAAGGGCCTCTCGCAGCGTACAACTCTGCGTGATCGCGTGCTCATCCTACACTCGAAAATCGCTTGGATCCTTAGCAAGGCCTACCACATTGCCGGTCTGGGGTCCTTGGATTCTGCACAGAGCGAGAAGCCGGCAGCGTCTAAAGAGAGTCCCTCGAGGAGCTGCCAGTCGTGTCGCGACGGTTCGACATTTGAAGCGGGTCAGCCAACTTCGGTGACGGGCGACGCAGCGTCGTGCCTGCAAGCTATTCTGGATGCATTCGAAGAGCTCGACTCGTGTCAGGAAGAGATGGCGGGTCGCTTGGACGCCGACGCGACCGGCGAGTCGGAAAGTATGCTGTACCTGGATCTCTTCCTCGCGCGCGTGCTCATTGCCTCGATCGGATGCGACTTTCTCGACTCGACGCTGTGGGACGGCAGTCTCGGACAGCTCTCATCCAAGACGCGCGGCAAGGACAAGAGCTCGGCAGAAGCGGATCTGCAGGGCCTCCGCAGTCGAACGCTGCGCGAGAGCCTCACGCGTGGCGTAGAGGGTGCGCTCCGGTCTCTCGAACTCGTCTGCCTCCCAACGCCAAGCACCACGACAGCAGGCTCGAACAGGTCGGACGAAAGAAGCTATTCAGAGGTGTCGATCAACATGCTGGTGCTCCCGCTATGGTTCCACTGGGCGCTAACGAGGTCGGTGCTCTTCCTCATGAACGTGCTGGCCGAGTATCCGGAACGACTGCTGCCGCGCGATCGAACACGCAGCACTGAGCTCATCAACCTGTTCCTCGACGTGTACGCAAAGCACATTGGACACGCCAACATGGTGCTGGAACACGGCACGGGGCACCGAACGCAACCGCCGAACTACGGTGGATCCGCCTGGTCGCCTGCAGACGTCGATATGCACGCTCGTGGCGGCGACGCGCACGATCTGCGCCAGTCAAACGGCGCTGCTGGAGTAGCGGATCCCAACGCGACTGCACAGGCATCGTGGCAACCGCAGACGTCGGCGCAGGACACGATTCAGCACCCTGCAACACCGCTACTCGACACACTCTCGCAGTGTCTCACTTGGGCCCGCCATGGAGGCGTCATGTAAAAGTTAGCACAGAGACAGCTTCGCCCGCCCGGGCCTCCACTTTTCGAAATGCGAGGAGCGGTCCGATGGAGCCGGAATGACAGCCACATTGTCAGCTCGCATGGAGCGTGAGGGTGCGCAGATGAGAAGCCGTGCGTGTGAGGCTCAGCGATGCGGTACAGCGTGGGGCGCGAGGTCAGAATCCTGGTGTGTTTGTCTCCCTCGGAGCGGGCGCGGCGACCTAGCAAGGATGCGGGGTAGACAACGCGATCTGTACCGCATTCAACGGTGTGCGTGCGTGTGCGTGTGCGCGGCAAAGGTGAGGGCGTGGCGATCAAGTGAGGATGGCCGAGGAAGGAGCGATGATAAACGGACGAGCTCGTCGGTCCGAGCTCGGCGTGAGTTGCGAGCCCGCGACCCTGGCGCCTCGTGGAGGTGGATTGCGGAGTTAGGGCGCTCGGTCGGACGCCCTATTTCTAATCAAACCCTTGCAAGACCACCGCTAGGTCGGACCCTCGGCATTGATCGAAGCGAAAGTCACCGACCGCTGACGCTCGGACCTGTGCTCGCCGAGCAGTTTTGTCCCCGCTGTATAAAGCTGTTCGGGGATCGAATCGCTACAACCATCAAGAGTACCACCACCACACATCGAGTCAGGAGATCGTAGCCATGTCGATTGGAGAAGCAAACCGTCCCGTGACGCTCGCCATCGTCGGCGCCGGCCAGCGTGGAAGCGCCTATGCAGCGTAAGTATCGCAACTCGGTCGAGAGCGAGACACCCGGAGCGGCTGTGGCTGACATGTCGACGTTGACTTCTGGCTGGACGATACAGCTACGCTGAAAAGTATCCAGATCTCTGCCGCGTCGTTGCGGTAGCCGATCCGTGGAAGTTTCGACGAGAGAAGATGAGCAAGGTGCACAGGTGAGTTGCAGCCAACGCAGTTAACGCTGGGCAGTCATTGCCGCCGAAGACCAAAGTACTGACACAGTCGCATGGTGCATTTTCGTGCTCGATAGCGTTCCAGCCGAGAACCAGTACGACGGGTGGAAGAGCCTGGCAGCGGCGGGCAAGATCTGCGATGCAGTGGCCATCTGCACCATGGACGACACGCATGCCGAGGTTGTGAGCGTCTTTGCGCCACTCGGTTACCACATTCTGTGCGAAAAGTAAGTATGCGCTTGGATACTCGGCTGCTCTGGATTTGCGGGCTGACAATGGCACTCTTCTCACAGGCCAATGGCGAACTCGATCAAGGACTGCGTGACCATGGTCAACAGCGTTCGTGGCAAAGACCTCGTCTTTGGAATCGGCCACGGTAAGTTCCCCTACGCTCCAGCATGGGATCTGCATTCAGGGACTGACTTGGCTTTGTCTGCGACGCAGTGATGCGATACTCTCCTTACAACCGAGCGGTGAAGGAGGTGCTCGACTCTGGCGTTCTGGGCGAGATCATCAATATCCAGCACATTGAGCCGGTGGGCTGGCAGCACTTTGCGCACTCGTACGTGCGTGGCAACTGGAAGAACGAGGCGACGACGAGCTTTTCGCTCATGGCCAAGTGCTGTCACGACCTCGACATCCTGTCCTTCTACATGGGCAGCGATGCGCCCAAGAAGGTTTCGTCGTTCGGATCCCTCGCGCACTTTAAGCCGAGCAAGAAGCCCAAGGAGGCCGGCGATGCAACAAGATGCACGGACTGCGCGTACGAACGCAAGTGCCCGTTCAGCGCCAAGAAGATCTACCTGGAGCCGCTGCAGAGCGACCACGAGGATCCGGAACGTGTAAGTGCAGTGGCCTCGCAATCGATCCTACAAGGATGGAAGCTGACTTTTGGTTGTGGATCAACGACAGTGGGCGCAACACCTGGTGGATGTGGTGGACATCGAGAATGTCGGCCGAGCGATCAAGGAAGGGCCGTACGGGCTGTGCGTGTACAACGGGCAGAACGATGTGGCGGACAACCAGGTGGTCAACATCGAGTTCGAGTCGGGCGCAACGGCCAACCTGACCATGGTGGCCTTCTCCGAGGTGGTGTGCAACCGCTCTACGCGCATCCACGGCACGCGGGGCGAGCTGATTGGCGACATGAACTCGTTCACCGTCTTTGACTTTTCCACACAGGAGAAGAGGACGGTGGTGCCCGAGCAGGAGGGCGGCGGTCACGGCGGAGGCGACCTGGGACTTGCACGCGCGTTTGTCAAGGCAGTGGCGGCCAAAGACGCGCAACACCTTGGTGTGACGCCGGAAGACGTGCTGAGGAGCCATCTCATGGTGTTTGCCTCCGAGGCGTCCAGGAAGGAGGGCCGCGTGATCGACTACGGCGAGTACGAGAAGCAGCAGAAGGCCCTGTACAGTTAGATATGCCGACAGCATCCGCGTTCTGATCCCAATCGCATGTTCGTGTTACGCTCTGATATCAAGCCAGCCAAGAGACGAGCAGAGTAGCAGGATGCAGGAGGCAGGGAGGAGGAGCCCGATGTGAGGGTTTTGCATTGTGCGAGTGTGAGTCGAGTGAAACTGTGGGGTTGGTGAGGAAGGTCTAACTCGGTAAATTGCCGTTCCGGTCAGCCGAGCCGAAAGGGTGTCGACGGTGAAAGCGCGCTTCGCACTGGCCTTCCCCGCACTTTGGACAGACGATGCTCCTGCCTTTGCACCATCATCACCGACCTCACATCAACAATGTCGTCCTCACACGGAGGCGGAATGCCACCCAAGCCTGTCACCAATCCAAACCTGCCGCTGTCCGGCATCAAGGTTGTCGAGGTAAGTGCGCGGCATCGACGTGGTCCGAGGGGAGTTCGCATTGCATGCTGACGCTGTATCAACAGTTCTCTGGACTCGCACCCGGACCCTTTGTGGGCATGGTGCTCGCCGACTTTGGAGCGGACGTGATCCGGATCGACAAGACCGCGACGGGACTCAACCCGGACAGCCTGTGCCGTGGCAAGCGATCGTTTGCCGTGTCGCCCAAGAGCGCCGACGGCCACGCGCTCATCTCGCAGCTGGTGCGCTCCGCTGATGTGGTCATTGATCCCTTCCGCCCCGGTGTGCTGGAGCGTTTGGGACTGGGACCGCAGGACTTTGACAAGGAGATCAAAAAGGGCCTCATCTTTGCGCGGCTCACGGGCTTCCAGCGCACGGGACCGTACGCTCAGATGGCGGGCCATGACATCAACTACATTGCGCTCAGCGGAGTGCTCTCGATGCTCGGACAGGCGGGAGGCAAGCCGCAGCCTCCGTCCAACTTGCTTGGCGACTTTGCGGGAGGAAGCATGATCTGTCTGTTGGGCATCCTGCTGGCGCTGGTGGAGCGTGCGCGTTCGTCGCAGGGCCAGGTGGTGGAGGCGGACATGGTGACGGGCGCACGCTACGTGTCGTCGTTTGTGCTGCTTTCGAGCTACCTCTCGCATCCGAGCTGGGGCGCCATCCACGCCGACGGCACCGATGAGACGCGCGGCAGCAACACGCTCGACGGCGGTGCTCCGTGGTACGGCGTGTACGCGTGCAAGGAGGGCGGGTACATGAGCGTGGGTGCGATCGAGCCGCACTTTTACAAGGAGCTGCTCGACATTCTGCGCAAGGTGGTGCCGACTGCACCCGAGGGCACGCAGCATCCGTCGGCCAGCACGCAGCACGACCGCGAGACGTGGCCGGAACTGCGTCGCTACTTTGAAGCGATCTTTGCGCAGCTGCCGCGCTCCGAGTGGGAGCGTCACTTTGTACGCACGGATGCTTGTACGGTGCCGGTGCTCACCCGTGACGAGGCGGCGCTTTCGGGCGTGCTGCCTGCAGCCTCGGCGGAGAGCGTATCGGACGGCAACCCGGTGATCCCTGCACCCGCGCCGCGGCTGACGAGGACGCCGGCGAGGCCGCCAGCGGGCAGCGCGGGTGGCGAGTGGGAGGGCGAGAGCGCCGAGATGCTGCTTACGCCGGGCGAACACACGGACGACATCCTGCTCGAGCTCGGCATCAGCGACTCCCGCAAGCGCATCGAGCTGTACGCGGCGGGTGCCATCGACGGACCCGACCGTCCCGAGGGCGTGACCAAGGCCAAGCTCTGATCCATCGGCTCTCGACACTCAGAATACGTGCTCCGTGTAGAATACATGCCGTTCCGTGTTCGTGGGTGGATGTGTGAAAATGGCCGATATCACGCGATATCAATTGAATGTCATCGGCAATTCATTCATCTGTGCAGGACGATGACTTAATCCTTTCCTGCATGTTTGCATCCGATCCGAGTCTGCGGCTTTTGAGACGCGTGGAATGATCCAACGCGCCGAGTATTGGCAGCTTCCCGCGGAGAAAGAGAGCGGATGGTTCGCTCGGTTGGAGCGCCTGCTCAGGGTAGCGCGGACCCTGGCCACGATCAAGGCCTCCGAGGCCAAAAGCCACAATTGGAAGTCGTAAGCAACACGGCAGAGATCGACAGCTCCGACTGCTTCCAAACCTCCATCTTGCTATCCACCCTCGCACAAGTAATACATCAACATGTCGAGGTTCATTGGGCTCAAGTCCCAGCCCTATCCGCTTGATCCCACCGGCCCCAACGCCTCAGCCTGGGACACCTTGTCCGCGCCATACCCACGCTATCCAAACAAGGACAAGCTCTTCGCCCAGCTCCTCCCGCCAGCCGTCTACAATGCGACGCTCAGCCCCTGGCTCCCCTTTTCGTTCTCCCTCGCCTACTACCTCGTCGCACACGCCGCCAACCGCATCGTCAAGCGCAATGGCAGCACAGACTTTACCAAGGGATCCACCCTCCTCGCACGCACCCTCCGCTTCCTCATCCTCGTCCACAATGCCGCCCTCGCCATCTACAGCGGCTGGACCTGGGCCATGATGTTCCCCTACGTCGTCGACTTCTTCGTCCAAGGATGGTCCGCTGCCGGCCTCCAGGGAGTCAAGCTCGCGCTCTGCTCCATGCCAACCAACTGCCCACACCTTGGCAAGTATGCCTACATCTTTTACCTCAGCAAGTACTACGAGGTATTCGACTCGGTCATCCTTCTGCTCAAGGGAAAGAAGGTCTCCAACCTTCAGTCTTACCATCATGCCGGCGCCATCATCTGCATGTGGATCGCCTACCGATACCAGAGCCAACCAGTGTGGGGTAAGAAGCCCTTTCGCACCATCGCTATTGTGGCTCGACTGACATCTTTGTTCTTTTGCTCGGGCAGTCTTTTGCGTGTTCAACAGCTTCGTTCACACCTGGATGTACACCTACTACTTCTTCGCCGCAATGCGATGGCCCTTCCCACGAGCCGTCAAGCGCAACCTCACCACCATGCAGATCGCACAGATCGCCTCCGGCACCTTCCTCACCAACCTCTACCTCATCACCGCCCTCAACCCCGACAAAGTCGTCGCTGGATTCAAGGCCAACAGCGTCTCTTCCTGGTTCCAGCAGAACCCGGCAAAGGACGAATCGATCTTCGTGCACGCGCTGCTTCGCGCCGCCTCCTCGGATCCCCATACTTGCATGCAGACCACGGGCGCAGAGATCGCACTCCACGTCAACACCATGTATATGTTCGTGAGTATCGCTCTCGAATCCTCTGATCGACTCCCGCTTGCAAGAGGAACGCAAGGCACTGACACATTGACCTTCGCCTCCTTCGTCATCACAGCCGCTGCTTGCCCTCTTCTTCAACTTCTTCATGCGCTCCTACATTCAAAAGCCCAAATCCGCCCCCAGCTCCCAGCCAGTCAAGAGTAAATAGACTCGTCTCGCTCATCCAAACTTCCCGTCATAGTCAAGGGCTGCACATTCCATACATACTGTCGCCAATCATCTTGGCTTCAACACATAAAGAACGGGAGCTGCAAGACTGGACCCAGGCACCCTTCGCGCCTCGCTCGCCTTTCCTCACTAACACAATCATCATAGAAGCTCGCCCTCACACTCCCGATTGCATGTGCGCCTGCAAATAGCTGTGCCAACCATCAATGCATTCACGCCATTCCGATGTATGACCTCCGTTGCATGCGGCAAGCGGCGAACAATGCGCACAGCATGAGTAGGTATTCCTGCAAAGCGCTCATTCCTCGGCGCCATCATCTTGGAACTCAAGCGCCTCACGCAGATTCCCATCATGGCCGGAAGAACCGCGTACTGGCGGTGGGAATACAGTCGTAGTCAGCATGAAAAGCTGGCTGCTGCGCGGTTGCTGTTCGCCAACCATCATGCATATTGGGGATCCTGGCTGGTGCCTGGCTCGTATTCAGGGCTCGCCACTGCCATTTTCTTCAAGATTTGACTCTTCGATCAACTTCACGTGTACCAGGTGACGCATCAGGGCAGGCGCAACACAGAATCCAAGATCACAACACAGTTTGCATAGATTGTATAAACAGGCCCGAGGTATGATGGCCGTGAGTATCTTGTCGTCCTGATTATGATTGCTTAGCCGGCCGCCTGGAACGATAAATTAAAATGGATCGTTCCTGGTCTACAAATGATTCACGACTCGTCATGGAAGGACATCGCTCGAGGGTAAAGTGCGAAAATAGCCGCCAGACAACCATTCGCGCGTGATTTAGGCATTCTTGATATTCGTGATTTGGTATTACGTCTGGGCCTTTTCACCTCGTCGAAGTTGTTTCGGGTAATCAATGAGGCTCTACCCAATGGCTGTGTGGCAGGCCCTTAGAATGCCCTTCTTTGTTAGAGGGTTCGGCGTGAGTCATGACGTTGAAATTATGATTTTCGTCGGACCTCTGTGGCATGACACTTGTATCCTCCAGACACAAGTCCTGCGCCTGATAACGCAAATTTACGGTAGAAAAGCTCAGAGTTTTCGTCGTGGTCATCAAAATATCTCGAGGGCAGGCGCGCGACCAATACATTTCAAAACTTTCAATGACTTGGCACGGAAGCCAAGGGGGAGGCCGATCGCGCATTCCCAGTTGGCTCTGTTATCATAGGGAGCTACCTTCTTTGAAAGCCGAACGCGTTGGCTGAGTTAGTTATCCGGCTTTACGAAAAACTTAACTCAATTCTCTATAAAGTCGGCTGCGCGCACAAGCTAACACGATTGGCTACAAGCACGCAGTTGGCTTGCAGACGATGCCAACAGGCAAGCCAATCAGTCCATTCCCTCGTCGGGCCGGTTGTATCCTGACCGCTGGCTGTGGCATCTACAACCTGCGATTCATAATCCCGTCCGTGCAGCATCGCCGCATGTCAACCGCCCTCGCCAACAACGTCGGACCAACGAGGCGAGTTGTCACCCATTCGAGACCCTGAGCGTGCAAGCCTTCGCTATTCGTGATTTGATTGAGAAGGAAAAACAGCTTAACGATTCGGCATTCGTCATTGCAGTCCGAGTGTAATTTAGCATTCTGACGACTTGTCTCGATTCCACTGATTAACGAGCACAATTGCGATATTTTGACACGACCTTATTCACTGTCGACATTCCTCAGTCACAACTTCGTGAAATTTGAAATAACAATGCTTAGCTATCTTGCGCTCTGATTCTAGATTTGATTTTTTTTACTGTCCTTCCAAACCGCATTGCGAGAGAGTGAATTGAATCACAAAATAGTGATCATAGCGTTTTTTGCTGCGGGATGACATGCTTCAACAAAGACATGATTCATAAAAGTAGACGTTGCGTGGCTATTCACGGCGCTCGATTGACATCCTGCGCTCAGTGACAATCAAATTACAAACGGAAAAGCATAGCGGGCAACAATGAAATCCTCGCGATATGAGAGCTTCCGACGAGCAGCCTGTAGAAGTCAGTAGGCAATCAGTCATTGTTTCAGTGAATGCTAGCTGTCTGGCGGATCCTTACAGCATTCGTTTCCTTCGAGAGATGACACTCGGCGACAATTTGTCACACACTTAGTTGCAGAAATAGAGATGGCCGCACCATTGCCGGCCGCAACATTGTTTGGGAAATCTGCTATAGATGTCCTCACAATACTGGCTGCAAACCGAAGATGCCGGTCATTTTTTTGAATCCCGATCGTGATTGGAGAAATTCACAAGCAGGGAAGCTTCTAATTTGATTAAGGAATGCTGGCTGCCAAATTCATATTTGGTGAATACGTTTCCGAGTATTGTAGACAAGATCTCTCCAAATGCAACCCGTGACTCCGTGCGAACACGCGTCATGCACAGTGCACAGTCCTCATGGCTCCCAAGACGTGCCTGGTGAGTTCATGATTCGAATCACGATTTTGCGGTTCATGCTTCCAGACTCCTTCACATCACCAAAATGTATTTTTCAGTGCGTGATGCTTCGCCGCACTCACTGTCGCCCTCTATATCTGCCCCTCCCTCCCCCCACCATCCGCGCACAATCTGATAGTAAGGCGGTCGGGTCTGCGATCTGAACTTTGTAGTTGACATTAATGTTCTGGCTCTTATTTGTCGCGGAAAGCATCTCAGCTCATTCTCGGCCAACGTTGAGCTTTCAATACAATCACAAATCATAAAAAAACGTCGGCGGACTGCAATTTCAGCTCCACGATCCACGACTCGTGACTTGCAAGATGATGCGAGCATGTTCATACTCCTGATTCATCATTGACGAAAGGATTACTGACTGTGAATCAGGATGGGTAGGAGCCGAAACTGCATCAGTTGGGGAGGAGGTTGTGGATGGACCTCCAGTAGTCGCACCTCGCACCTCTGCCGCCTTCCCAGGTGTAAGCGTTGACCTTGGTGAAGTTGTTGCGGAGACCGCGACCGGTGAAGATGGTGACATTTGCACCGAGATCCGGCATGGAGCTGAGGGTGCCACCGGTCTGGTTGAGGTTGATCTGGTACGGAGTGGATGGAGAGAACTTTGGCCAGTTTTCGGCCGCATTGGGCTGCGACGGCGAGGAAGACGAATTGCCATTGGCGAGAGCCGAAGAGATGGAAGGATTGTCGTTGGTGACAAAGTTGCCGTAAATGTTCATGAATGCCTTGACAAAGTCCGGACCCTGCACGTTGGAGGGCGGGCCAAAGTAGCCGACCACGTCGTTACCGTGCAGAGCGGGTACGACACTGTACTGGTAGCGGTATGCGGATCGACCGGATCCACTGTACGCTTCGGACATCCAGTAGCTGGGGCAGACAAAGGTGAGCTCGCCATAGATGTTCTGTGTGCACGGAGATCAGAGGCAAGCAGTAGGGAAGTGTGGTCAATGCATGAACTTCATCTCGATGGGATGATGGGATGTACTTACGTCTGCGCGTGCCTGCTGACCGTGGGCGACGGGGGAGACGCTGGTTGCGTCTGGAGAGTCGAGGCCATTGGTGGCGTAGTTGGTGGTAACGTTGGTGTCGAGTGGATACTGCTGCAAGATCTTTGTGACGTCCTCATCCTTCAGGAGAGGGAGGAGGGTCTTGAGCCACTTTGTGAGGTCCTGTTCGGTGTTGATGGAGCGCGGAACGAACAAGGCGCCCTCTGCGCCGTTGTTACCGACGAGGAGGTGTTTGCCATTGATGCGTCGGGCATTGAGCTGCTGCGAAGGTACATCTTGCACGTAGGTGCCGTCGGTGACGGGCAGGAAGGACCACGTGCCGAAGAAACTGCTTGCCGAGACCTTGACGTTGGCCTGCTGGAGTGTCTGGGAGTCCTTGGTGAGAAGACACTGGAAGATGTTCTGGTTGGTGTTGCCGTAGGCCGATCCGTTGAAGCAGCCTGCCTGGGCGGCAAAGGCGTAGTAAGATTGTGAGGGTTCAAAGTCCTTGTATCCGAATTGGAGCGGAAGGTAGGGGCTGGCGGCGATGACATTTTTGAAGAGAGAGGTGCCGAGAGTGCCGCCCTGGCCGAGGGCATGGAGCATGACGGAGCCTCCGCCGGCGGATTCGCCGGCGATGGTGACGTTTCTTGGGTCGCCGCCAAACTGGGAGATGTAGGCCTGGACCCACTCGAGTGCGAAGCGCTGATCGAGGATGCCGGCGTTGGCAACGCCGTAGCGGCTGAGCTCGTCCGAGGCGAGGAAGCCGAAAGCACCGAGGCGGTACTGAATTGCGACGCCGACAAAGTCGTTGTCGTTGGCGTTGATGATGGAGGTGAAGTCGTACTGACCGTTTCCAGCGCCGTAGCCACCGCTGTGAATCGTTGAAATGAACCTAGGGTCAGCAAGGGCTGGGACAATTCTAAGACGTATGAGTGCTTACCCGTGGATCCAGACCATTACGGGCAGACCGGTTGCATTTTTGGGAGCAAAGACGTTGAGGAAGAGGCAGTCTTCGTTTGCGTCCTGATACTGCTGAGTGTCTGTCTGGGCTTGAGGATTGCCAAAGGGATTTTGAGGGCACTGGGAGCCGTACTGGCTAGCATCGATGACGGCGGTACGGTTGAGCGAGGGTGGCTGTGGAGGCTGCCAGCGGAGGTTGTCGGTGGGAGGCGCGGTGAATCGAATGCCCTTCCAGGAGCTGATGTTGGAGGTGGCGTTGAAAGTACCTCTGTACTGGGAGTAGCCGAGATCGACGGTGAGATCGTCGGTAGCCTGAGTGTCCTGGCGCTTTGCGAGGAGATCGGCGAAAGGCTGCGAAGAGATGGGGGATGCTCGAGCCACGCTACCAAGGTCGAGGGCGAGTGCGAGTGAGAGCAGAAGGCTGCTCTGGAGGAGCGCAAAGGACTTCATCTCGGAGTTGGGCTTGATGGGAGGGAACGGTAATGATGGGGGAAAAGGGTACTTATTATATAGACGCCGAGACGCAGCTGGCGATGCTTTGTCTCTCGGTTGTCTGCGAAGGGATGAAATGCGGCGGGGACCGAGGCCCTGTTTGGGAAAGCACACGGCTGCCAAGGGATGATCGCGCGGATTGAATCAAGCTTGTGATGAAGGGCCTGGCTGGCGAAAAGCGACTGGAGAGGGTGGAGGTGCAGGATGGTGGTCTTTACAGATGCCGGCGGCGGGTGGGCAGTAGAAAGAAGCTGAGCAAGCCTAAGAACGGCGACCGGCGACCTTTTGGATAGTGGGTGCAATGCGGGGAAGCTGGGAGCCCCAACGACCTTTTGCGCTGCCGAGGTGGGTGGCCATGACGGTTAAGCGAGGCCGTATAGGGAGGAGAATGCCGCGCGGCAATGCAGCCTGGCACGATGCAAGCCGGCGACACCGGACCGCGTGGTGGGCGCAGGGCGGGGATTCGTTACCACTCGTTGCAGCGAACAAGGGCTCCAAGGGTGGGCTTCCGAGCGTCGCAAGCTGTCATCGTTGTTGATTGAGCGGGGATCGGCGAGTATAAGATATTGAGGCCCAGCGGAAGGGAGCATTTTTCATTTTTGATTTCGCCGGCATTTTTCGGTGCTTTCGTTTTGTTTGCGCCCAAATGAGATTTTCGGAAAGCGATTCCCGGCGAGAAAAGTGCGGATTCTTTTTGTTTTTGTTTTTTGGTCCTTTGGGCTTTCGGGGCGGGGCGAAGCGCCTGTCAAAGTCAGGTTGTGCGGGGGTGCGGCAACGACGCATTGGCCGACGCATTGGCCAACGCAACACGCGCCGCACGCGCCGCTTCTCCCAAAATCCTATCCTCTGCTGCAAATGTCAACCACCGACTGAGCCTTTCCCTTGCCACCATCGCCACCCATCCCATCGAAAATATCATCACCATCACCACCACCACCATCATGGCCTCTGCATCTGCACCCGGAAAGTGGGCTCGCGTCTTCAAGGTGTCCATCTACCTCAAAAAGAAGGACGGCATCTCGGACCAGCAGTTCTCCGACTACTATGCCCAGACGCACGCAGCCCTCGCTGGACCCGTGCTGCTCAGGCACAACTGCATCTCCTACACCCAGGTGAGCCCGCTCTGCCGCTCTCATATCGACTAGGAATCTGCGCCGACTAACCCGCATACGCGCATATGCCTCTCCACAGTTTCACCACATGACCGAAACAGCCAGGGACTCGATCACGTCCATCTTTGGACCCGATGCGCTCAGCCCGCAGAACCCCATGCAGCCCATCGCCTATGACGGCTGCTCCTCGTTCGTCTTTGCCTCCATCGACGACGCACGCGGCTTCTTCCACGACCCAGAGACCGCCCAGATCCTCGGCCCCGACTCGGTCAACTTTACCAACACCGCCACTCTTCAGGTCGCCATCGGTGACGAGTTTGTCGCCATCCAGGACGGCAAGCCCGCCGCATGATGCGCTTCTTCACGCCAGCCCCGGCGCAACTTCTTCGAGCATCATCCAAGGGTATCAGTTGCGAACCGTAAAAGTACAAGAAAACACTGCAGATAATTGCGTGCGTGGGTGATGAACCGTGCAGGCCTTCATAAATGATCGAACGGATACGACGACCCAAGCCACTCGTCGATCGAGAGCGCTCCCGACAAGATGCCGTCGAGCGAAGGAAAGAGCGTCTGGTCGCCCTGCCAGTCGCTCTCGTTGGACGCAACGGTTCGTGCCTCGCCTCCAACGGACACCGCTTCGGCCGCCTTGCCCGCCTTGCCCGCTCCGTCCCCCATCATGTCGGCAAAGTCGGTGGGGTTGAGCCAGCTGTAGTCGGCCTGCATTGCGTTGTTCGAATCGATACGCGCCTCGCCCACCGACGCCACGCTCGACTCGCGCGTGTGTTCCGCCGACTCTCCCTCGGCGAGACGCTTGATCTTGTCCGGCCTACCTGCCGCCGCCGCAGCCTGTCGCGCATCCAGCGGACGCTTGCGCTTCACCCTCGACGACGCGCTAAACACGCGCTGCAGCACGTCCAAAAACACATCCTTCGTCCCGCTCGTATCCAGCTTTTCCTCCGCAATCCTCTCCAGACCACCCAGTCGCGCAAACGCTTCGCGGATCTTGTCTTCGGCGTTGAGAAGCTCCTTGAGAATGCGTCGCGAGTTGCGTGCCGCTTCGCTCCCCGGCCCAGCCTTGGATAGCAGCGAGATGGCCGTCGACAGATTCGCCCGCACCGCCGTCGCATCCAGGTCGTGCTGACGCGCACAGCACAGCTCCATCACCAGCGCCATGGCCGCTCCCAGCAGATAGAAGGTCACCAGCCAGAACTTGTGGATCACGCTCGACTCTTGCAGCGAGAGGATGCGGATGATGCAGCTGGCCGACGACAGGCACGCCTTGCGTGCAAACCTCCACTCGTCATCCGTGAAGCCAGAGAGCTGATGCACGCGGTGCAGACGCAGGATGCGGTTCAGATACATCAGCTCGAGCATCACCGACTCCATCGCCTGATCGGGCGCATCAAACGTGCGCTGCGGCGAGTATCGCAGGCACGCCGGTGTCGAGTCGTGCACCTCGTTGAGCTTGCTTACAAATCGATGGATCTGAGCTCGAGAGAGGAGCGAGCGCTCGTTGGAGACGTCGACAATCTCGCGGTAGAGCGTGACGTAGCGCATACGCATCGTGATCGACGACGAGTGCGTGTACACGTCGGGCGAGTGCAGCGTGAGGCTATCGCCGTGGATCTCGACGTTGGCCGGCAGATTCGTGCGATTCTGCAGAGGATGCACCGAGTACACGCCAAAGTGGGCCACCGCATGCGACCAGTCGAGCCAGGTGAGGTTCCACCAGATCCGACGTCCCAGCTCGCGCCGCGCCTCGGTCCGCATGCTCACCGACGGCTGATGCGACGTCGGGCCGTGATCGAGACGCGCAAGCCCAATGTTCTGAGCCACCTTGATCGCCGAACCGAGCAGCGCCCATTGGCCATCCGCCTGCTCTTTGCGGTTGTGCTGGTAGACGCCGAGCAGGCAGATGCATGCGAGATGCTCGAGCTGCTGCGACTGCAGAAAATTGCTTGACCACAGCAGCTGCTGGCTTCCCGTGCACAGCGTGTCTGCTAGCCGCGATGCCTCCTTCTTGGAGATGCCCACAAGTTCGAGCAGCGCTGGGTCGGAGAAGTGCAGCGCAAGGGCGACGACCACAAAGTAGCAGCACACCATCGCGCTCGAGACGGGGAAAGCGGCGATCTGTTCGGGCTGCATCTTGGAGAGGCGCAGAAAGTCGGCCGGGCTCTCGGGGGGAAGAACGCGCGTAGTCCAGTCGACGTGGGTAAAGTAGAAGTCGAGCAACACCGACGTGTTGGGCGGCAGGAACTGTGCGAATCGGAAGGCGACGTCGGCGGACGAGTCGGCGGATCGCTGGTCGAGCATTTGCTCCTCGTCGGTCTCTGCCTCCTTGGGGTCGCCGTCTGCCGCCGTGCCGACGGCATCGATGGGAAGGCTCTTGAGTTTGAGTTTGCGACCCATGGCAGCATCTTCGAACAGGTCCTGGATGTCTTGACCGATGTGAAGCTCCTGTTTAGCAGCGGCGCGATCGGCGGCAGCTAGCGGCTCGTCCTCATGGTCGGCGGCAGAGACGAACGGTGCTCCGTTGGAGTTGGTCCGGCTGTTCAGGACGTAGCGTTCGATCCGGTCCATACGCGCCTCGAGACGGTAGAGCCGCTCGGCATCCATGCCGATGAAGCGGTCGGATGCAAACGACGCCGCTTCCTGCAGCTCGTTCTTGGACGATGACGAGGAGGGAGGAGCGGCGCCAAGCGTGGATGCTTGGCCATCTTGCGAGAGAGATATGGAGGCGCGATGTGGCAGGGGAGGCGCGAGCTCGCGGGTGGGCGAGGTGGCAGAGCCGAACGAGGTGGTGATGGAGGCGATGGTCTGCTGCACCTGTGTGCACGAGGCCTGGTCTCCGCGGATGACGCAGGGGGAGCAGGGGTACTTTTTGTCACATCGCGTCTTGCGCTTGCGGCACTGCAGACAGCTGAGGTTCTTGACGCTGCTGTTGGCGTTGCCCAGCGCGGCAGCCGCAGCCGCGTTGGCCGGGGTGTTGGCCGAGAACTGCGTGGACGACGAGACAGGGGGCGGGAGAGAGGTGTCTTGCGGCGAGATGGTTGCGTTGGTGGTAGCGGTGGGATCGTGGGATTGCATCGCGAATAAGCTTGGGCTTGGAGTGGGCTTGAGGTGTTAGAGCAGTGTCTACGAAGCCGGTGTATGAGACGCCATTGCACCGAGGGATGCGGAGGCGGACTGCAGGAAGCTGCAGGGTGTAGGTAAGCCGGTTCGAGAGATGAAGACAAGGTTTGGGTGATGGGAGGTTCGGATGACGACGGCAAACGGCGGTCGGTATCTGACCGAGGTGCGACGGTGGAATGAAGCCAAGCTTATATACACGGGCAAGACGCGCGGACGCTGCGAAGCATGCATGCAGCTGCTACTCGCTTTGGCAACCTGTCGGCGCGGGCGGATACCGAGCTTGGATGGATGCCGACTATGGCAGTGGATGGACAATGCGGTGCGGGGAAAGCATGTTTGCGACAAAAGACGGCACCGATAAACGCCCGCCGATTAGTGCTCTCCGCTGTCAAGCAAAAATCGCCAGCCGATAAGTTGGCGCGGCGGACGAGATTCGCGGAGACTGTCCGCGGCTCCACATCCGCCCCTCGGATGCCGCGCACCTCGACCCCGTGCGACCCTGGCCTTTGCACAGGTGGCTGCTGGCTGCTGCACCTTGGCACACATGGATGCATCGGCCTTGCAAAGCCAAGAGACCGCCACTCCCGTGCGCGGTGCGCGGTGCGCGGTGTGCGGTGCGTGTGACACTCCTCGCCTCGTGCGGGGCATGTAGCCGTCCAACTGTATGCTGCCTCGGACCTTGTCCGTCAGTAGCCGGATCGTCGTATTGAGAGCGTATCGGAGGGCCATGTGACTATATAGAGCGGCGGCATCGCACGCAGATCGACCACTGCCCCTCACAGTGTAAGCATCTGACCTCGTTCTCCTATTCATCCGCTCCGAGCGCCATCATGTCCGAATCATCCACATTCAAGCAGCTCAACGTCGCCATCCTGGGCGGCGGCATCGGTGGCTTCTCGGCTGCCATTGCTCTGCGTCGCGCCGGCCACAAGTGCACCGTGTACGAGCGCAGGGGCTTCGACGTCGAGGTGGGCGCCTCGATCTCGTGCGCTGCCAACGGCACCCAATGGCTGCACGACTGGGGCGTCGACGTCCAGTCCGGCCGACCCGTCATCCTCATGGAGCTCACCATGCGCGACTGGGAGTCGGGCGAGATCCTCAACCAGTACCACTTGCACGACTACGAAAAGACCTGGGGCAACGTCTACAACATGTTCCACCGCCAGGATATGCACAAGATGCTGCTCGACACCGCCGTCTCGCCCGAGGGCAAGGGCATCCCCGTCGAGATCGTCATGGACCACATTGCAGAGAACGTCGACCCGGACACGGACATCATCACCTTCCGCAACGGCAACAAGGTGCACGCCGACCTCATCATCGGCTCGGACGGCATCCGCTCCAAGGCGCGCGTCGCCATCGGCGTCACGCCCGACATCAAGTCGGCACCGCAGACCTGCTACCGCTGCAACGTGACCAAGGAAGAGGTTGAGCGTCTCGGCCTCACCTGGGCTGCCGACCCGGCGATTCAGTTCTGGGGCGGCTACCCCAAGGAGGGCCTGAACCAGTACTACAAGATCGTCATGAGCCCGTGCGCTGGCGGCGACGTTGTGTCGTTCTACTGCTTCATGCCTACCGAGCTTACCAAGCACCAGTCCGAGGGTTTCGTGTTTGAAGAGGTGCCGCCCGAGGAGATCCTCGCGGGCGCCTACTCGAAGCTCGACCCTCTGTGTGTCAAGCTGATCAAGAACTCGGTGGAGCGCAAGCCGTGGCGTCTGTACGTCCACCAGCCCTACTCGCACTGGTACAAGAAGCAGACGTGCATCCTCGGCGACGCTGCGCACCCCATGATGCCCCACCAGTCGCAGGGTGCTTGCCAGGCCATCGAGGACGCCGCTGCGCTCGGCGTCATCTTTTCGCAAGAGTACAACTTTACCAACAACATCGAGGCCGGTCTCAAGCTCTACCAGGACATCCGCAAGCCCAGGGCTACGCGCGTGCAGCAGGCCTCGACACGAGCGCTCGAGAACCTCAACGAGCGCATCGGCTTCTCGTCGCTCAACGCGCACGACGCCGCCCTTGCCGCCAGCGAGAACAAGCTCACCGTCAACGAGATGAACACATACGACATGAAGAAGCACATCCGCGAGACAGTCTACCCCAACCTCAAGTCGACCCCATCCGTTTCGACGCCCATCGCTAACATCAGTGCGACGTCGACCCCGATTGCTGCCGATGCATAGCCCCTCCTCTCGTTGTGTCGGAATCGTAAACTCCTCT